AACATACAGCCGATGCTGAGAAGTGATGCGATCCATGTGGCTTCTTCCATTGTTATTTTACCAGACGATAACGGCGTATTGTCAGACGTCAATAGGTAGATACTCGGGCTAGGCCAGCCTTCTGCTATGCCAAACGCCACCGTTGATATATTCGCTAATTTTGAAAAGGAGGAGAAAATTCAACGTAATTCCATCAATTTGTTACATTCATATCATATTTTCATTGATTTACCGACTATTGCTGCTATGCACTGATATTTAACACTCTGATCGTTCATGGATTTTGTAGGTTCCTTCATTTTTGTTCTCCGAATTATGCGAGCTTCTACGTCAGTTGAACACAAAAAAATATTCAAAGATCTCCAAATCGCTCGTGTTTGCCACTCACTCAGCTGTTGAATTTAGAAAGTGAGTGAGATTTCTGTGCGAAGATCTTCCAATTTATTGGAACCAAAATACGAAGTTTATCTTCAAGTTCAACTGATTGTGTATTTGAATCAGATGGTTGTTGCTGTCGTCAGAAAAGTGTCAAAACAGAAATTTATCTGTATAGATCAATCTAATCAGTTCCAAAAATAATAAATTGACTTACCAATATAATCGAACCGTACTTATCGGCGTCGAATATCGATTGAGACACTTTTCTTTCACATTCCATGCAATAAACCCGCGAATGATATGTATAACAAATGATAGACGTATCGTATTTTTTACTGCATTCAATGAAAGATAAATAATTACTTAATCTCAAAGTTAAGAGTTAACTTGACATTAGAATGTTCAATGTTCATCAAGATCGGAATAACAAACGGATTAACGCACTTGAAAAACGAGATTGTTTACTTTTCACTTGATACGATCAAACGTCATAGTAGACACGCTTTCTATGACTAAATTGCATTGAACTGAAGTGGTTTGATATATAGAATTTGTTTTTGCACGCTTCGGTGTAAGAATCATGCGGTTTTTTCAATAAATTGATAAGCTTTTATAGCAGTTTGGCGACATCACCTTCCGAGACTTCATCACGAATTGTATAAATCGTAAAATTCTGATATTGAATATTGATTCAATAGGAAAAACGCATTGAATCGTTTTTCTATGTATCACATGGGCATTTTATTTACAAACAATCTACAAAATCGTGCAAACAAACTCATTCAAATGGGGTATTTGCTTAACACGAGTTTCTATTAGCTATTTAATAGACATTTTTCAATAAGTCCTGCAACGTAATTTTCGCACTAATAAAATCAATGAATAATCGTTCTAACGAAGCGATTGTCATGATTTACTCATCGCCTTTATCCTATGTTTCTGGCACATAAAAAATTATGAATAGCTCAGAAGTTATACACAACCGGCGGACAACAACATTCTTTCACTAAGACCATGTAAATCGGTTCAAAAAAAGGAAGAAAAACGTGGTGACGAATGCAGGTATGCACATGCACACTGTTGGTTTCCAAAATGAAAGCTTAAAATGTAAAGAAAACATGTGCACAATCAATGTGAAACATTGTGCAAGTGCACTACTTGATCAAAAAAGCAGAGAATTAAAGCATCTGATTTAAAATCGATGCAAAATCCAAAGGTGAATCATTTCCACCAAACTGAGAAGCGATGCACCGAAGAATAGACCGACAATGGAACCGAAGGTGATGACCAAGTCCAGGTTTGTAAGGCGCACTGAACGAGCCAATCGTTTCGGCTGACTATTTATTTCAAAGGTCACTGTCGCAATTTCTGCCGTTTGATTACTCGTAATTACTTTATGTTTTTCATTATATCTGCAGATGAATTGAATTTCAATTTAATGATGAATTCATTTAAGTAAGTTTTACTACTTCAGCCCACATACCCGACTAAGCCAACATGCATTTCTGTGCAGATAGAAAGACATGGTTTGATTCTCTCGCGATGCTCATCCGCCAGAACATAATTGTTTTGTTCTCCAATGCATTTCATCTGTGCATAGTTGCAGTACTGATCCTTATCTATTGTAAGAAATATAACATGGAATTAACCAAGGAATAATTTTAGAATTCTACTCCATCATTCCACTGATTTGAAAGTCAAGTTCATTACATTCGACTGGGGCAAAGTGTGAAGTGCAATTGCAAACTTCCAAGTCAAGCTGAACTTGAGCATGGATAAAACACGACTCGATGCCGTAAGGCATATATGTATACAAAGGCCAACGTTCGTCTGGAAATCGACATCGGCGCTTCTCGATTGATAATTCGGCACAACTTTACTTTACAGAACTATTTGGAATATGAATATTTTTTTGATTTTCTTTTTGCTCTAGATTGCTTATGGTCACTACATTTCTAGGGTGCGATTTGCAATTTTATGATTTACCTTTATTTTTTGACAGGTGTTCATTTTTCAGTATGTAAGCCTATAAATTCTCAGCCGTTGCAAATAAAGCATTGATCACTGAAGCAAAGTTTTAGTACTTCATCAGAGCTATGTAGCGCCCTGACTAAAATGTACTAATCTGTACTAATTTGTACTAAATTGTACTTAATTTGAAAAAATGGTTCTAGTGCATTTCCAGCAGAAGAGTGCGATCAAGATTATATTGTCGTAACCTACGATTTGGCCATCGCGTCCAAAGCTTATAAGATACAGGCTGACATGAAAGGAACGTTTGAAAAGTTGTTCATCAACTTAGGGGCATTCCATATTGAATTATCGTATTTCAAAGCAAGTATAAAAAACCAAATAATTTTATCCAGCGTTTTATTGCAAATAATAATTAATCATGAAGATAAAATAAATAATTTTCCAATTTTCATTTCTAGGCGTTGGGAAAATTTATCGAATCATCCGGAATTTGCCAATTGATGATTGACAGTGGTTTAATTGCTGATGGATCTCTTAGAGGAATTGTGGGAGGCACGCATTTCAATCGCTGTTAAAAAATTCATCCTATAGCAGCATTGGCCTTCAAAATAATTCACTTCAACCACTTTCTGGAAAATTACACAAAATCAAATGGCATCGAAATATTATTGCTTGAGGAAGTAGTAGACAATCTAACTTTTGAAAATCGCACGCATGAAACTGAAACTACAAAGTTCCAACTGAAAGATATCCTGAACCGCTATCGTGCATATACTGAGGAAACTCGCGATGGGAAGCATGGCCATACAGCGCAGTTTGTTATGATGTATATCGATCTCATTGAAAATTACCAACTATTTGAATATGCGATACGCACAAGTGATTTGAATTTGTACATATGCGCTGCGCGTAAAATGTGTCCGTGGTTCTTTGTTTTCAATCATCAGAATTATGCGCGTTGGTTGACAAAGAATATAGATGATTTGATAAATATTGACCAAAGTCATCCCGGGCTGGGAGAATATTTTGAAAATGGTGCTTTATCAGTTCGTCGAACTTCCAAAAACTTCTGTAGATCACCCGTTGATCTCACTCTGGAACAAACGATTAATGCCAATGCCGCCAATAAATTAACCGGTATTTCATCGTTCACAAATTCAATTTATGCGAGACAACGGTGGTGCGAAACGCATACTGTTCGAAAAGCAATCATTACGCATTTATTCGAGTACCTCAGACTAAATGAATCAAGCGAACATTGCACTAGTGATCGTCAAAACAAAGTTTTCACCAACCAAATCGAAAAGTTTATGAAAGAAGTTCAGAGCAA